CTATGCCTATATACTGTATGGGCCTGTCGCTTATACACATCTAGATGTGTATAAGAGAATACTTTAACGGCTAAGATTGACGGACCTGGTGTACCTAGGCCTAGACACATACGTAATGTAGGCTTCTCTTTGAGCGACACCATCGGACCCAGAGTAGGCCTAGACACATCTGATATACTATACCGTTACGTAAAGTAGGTTTCTTGGCCTACCACCAGCCTACCGTCAAGCAATAAAAATCAACATTTGTGGAAATACTGTATTTTCCAAGAAATGATGGTTAAAAATTCTGGACACATAAATATGCAGCATGCGATGGACGGACGAACCTAAGGGTTGGCGGGGGCAGCATGTGATGGACGGACGAACCTAAGGGTTGGCAGGCGGACGGGAGTTCATCAAATGATGTTTGGGAAAATAATGGTCAATTACAAATTACAGCATCTGATGGACATTCCCGGGTGGGGGAGAACCTTAAAATTATGGACACATAAATTTACAGCATAGCTTCATCAAATGATGTTTGGGAAAATAATGGTTAGAAAATACAGCATCTGATGGACAGTCCCGGGTTGGGGAGAACCTTAAAATTATGGACACATAAATTTAAATAATAAATAAATGTGATGGACTGACCATCTATACACATATACAGCATGTGATGGAGCCATGTGATAGACGGACGGACGAACCTTAGGGTGAGGGGGGAGATTTCATCGAAACATTAGTGATGGAGGCATGTGATAGACGGACGGATGAACCTGAGGGTGGGTGGGGGAGATTTCATCAAAACATTAGTTGTTGAGGGGGAGGGGGGCAGAGAGCTTCATCAAATGATGTTTGGGAAAATAATGGTCAGAAAATACAGCATCTGATGGACAGTCCCGGGTTGGGGAGAACCTTAAAATTTTGGACACATAAATTTACAGCATGTGATGGACTGACAGTCTATCACATTATATTTGGGAAAACAATTGCCATAAATGTACAGCATCTGATATTCGGACCTGGGGTGGGGAAAATTGGACACATATACAGCATGTGATGGAGTGACATTGGGGATGGGACACAATGTGATGGTCCTTGGGTGGCCTATGTTGTTGTGGAAAATAATGGATATATGTATACAGCATCTGATCAGTGATATTCGGACCTGGGGGTGGCGGAAGTTATGGACACATAAATATACAGCATGTGATAGATTGTCATTGGGGGATGGACATAAATATACAGCATTTGAAATTCGGACCTGGGGGGGGGGAATTATAGACACATAAATATACAGCATGTGATGGACTGGCATTGGTGGTGGGGGAGGTCTCAATTGACAAGTCTCTATACAGCATGTGATGGACAGTCCCGGGTGAGGAGAACTTTAAGTAACAGGCTACAGTATGTGATGGATTTGGGGGGTCTATCAAAATGATGTTTGGCATGGGAGGTCTATCAAAATGATGTTTGGGAAAACATGGGTGCCCCCAAATGGACATTAATATACAGCATATGATGTACTGATCTTGGGGTGGGGGATGTGATGGACTGATGTTGGGGGTGAGTTGGTCGTCAGTAGGTGGTTGTTATGGGGATTTACAATCCTGCATTATAAACCAATAACAGACCACAAAACCCTCTAGGACCTGTTTACCTACGATGGAACATACACACCCGCTGGGTTCTGGTTTGCCTATGTTTTTACCACCTATCATCAAATAAAAAAATGTTTGAACGTTTCAATCAAAACTTTGCAATATCTAATTAAAATGATAAAGTAGGTTGTCAAGGAAATCCGTTTTGATTACCAACTATTTCAAGGGCCTATGAAAAAGAATATAGAAATTTATAATTTATGATTCTATTATAGTTGAGGAAATATTTTTCTCATGCTTAATTTTCAATCTAAAATTATTTAATATTTAATCAAGTTTTTTTTTAAGCTCAGCCTAGATGGTATATTCTAAAGCTCTGTCTACACTATCAAATTTTGTGTGACAAAAAAGTGTGATATGCCCATATATGGGCATGATGACATCACACCATGACCATATATAGGCATAGCATTACTATATACTGTATGGGCTTGTCACATTTTTTTGTCAAAGTAAATTTGATAGTGTGGATAGAGCTTAACCTGTATTTCTAAATGATCATTATCAACAATGAATAAAATATAGGCTATGGTCTCACACGGCACCTAATGGTTAGCAGTATCCGGATCCTACTAAGCGTTAGCTGCCGTGCATCCATGCGAGAAAATCCCGATCCTGATACCAACAATATGATAGAATCACTGGCCAATAAGAAACTGGAAATTGTAAACGCGTACGTGTGATTGGTTGATGAGAGAAACGCCCTCATCTTGCTAACCGATAGCGCTTGCTAACCGTTAGCCTATCCGGATACCGCTAACGGTTAACGCTAACCGATCGGGCGTTCTCATGCAGGTGCTAACGGTTAGCTCCCGATCCAGATACTAGGGCTCTCATGAGAACCAGGCTTTTGTGTTTGTGGAGGGAATCAGAGGGTCCATCCAAAGGTTTGTCATTTTAACACAGAGGCTGGGGGTAGGGTGTGAATTTTGAAATACGGAACTATATCCCTATTCCAATGAAATACCTATGGTGATTTTTATTTTTTTCTCGCTTTGTAGAACTAATTTTCCGCTGGCTGGTAGCGTCCACATCCTCCCCCACCGTCCCAGCGTATTCCCGTGCAAGGATAAGGAAATATTTCTCTGTTGTACCCATTGCATTCAATCTGTTGCATAGAATTATGTATGTACTTAAAAAGCATTTGATCTTCAAAATATGTTTTTTTTTTTTATGTGGAAAAAAAACTTCATGCTTGGTCGATATTTTCAACTAATTTTTGGGTGGTGTGGTTACTGACCATATTATAGATATGGTAGCGATTAATTTGAGTTTTTTTTTTTTTTTTATGTTTTGCATTGCAACGTACAACAAATATACACATCAATCCTTTTTATTATATATATATACTGTACATCTATGCTTGTTTCTGTCAAATGCTTGTCTCGAATAAGCCCCTCTTTTGAAGTGCTGCTTTCAAATATGTGCTTCACAAGAGCAAGGCAATTCAACAAAAGGACGCACATCTCGGGAAACCAAAGGTTATAACTTTGGCATCGACATTCTAGGCTCGGCGTGTCCCTACACGATGTACGTCACAAAAACCATAGCAACCAGTTAACTGTCAGCGTGTGACGAATTACCCACGCGCGTGTAAGTTGCCATAATAATCGCACGTCGTGCGGTGATTACAAAGGTCTAATGATATTTTGCACTAACATTAGACTGAAATTATATTCGTTATTTCAACATTAATTTTACGGATGTTGTGGTATTGTATTGTCGTTCATGAGACTCATTTCGCAGAAAAAATTAATAAATTTTCTATATCTACTCAAATGTTCATTTTGTGCACCTTAGTCCAACATTGTCAAAATGACATAAAAACATGAAATTTTATAAAAATTATAAATTTTCAATTGCTATAACTTTTCATTTTGAACTAACACCATAACACGCGCAGACTAATAATTGACGGCTGTACTCGCAACTAGTATCGGATTGTCGATGCCACAGTAAAGATGAAAGGACTGTACACACGCGCTATATTCAAGTAGCGGAGATGTGCTTCCTTTTGTTGAATTGCCTTGACAAGAGTAAGTACCACACTGAAGCCTCCAATAATGTTAAATTACTGCCGTTTTCCGATGGGTTCAAAATTCTCCTAGTGTTTGACTTGACCCTTTTTCCTCTCAGCTTGACCAGGCTTGACCAATGTCACAGTCATGTAGAAGTTTTCTCCTGCAGCCATTATGACACAAGGCTACTCAGAATTAACCAGCAAGGCTGACCAAGGCCAAACTGGTCAATATAACCTTGCAATTCACTAGCTATGCAAATTGCTATCATTCTTAGCTATTCAGTCCCAATCTATGCATATCATTACTATGCATGGAGGGAGAATTGAGCCATGGATTTAAGCAAATTAATCTTAAGGTAATGTTCAGATGAAATTTTATTTCGTAATTTGTATTAAAAACTTGTTTCAAGTCTACTTAGGCTATACAGTTGAAATCCTATTGGATTTTAATATCATTTGAGCTTAAAATGTATACAGTTGTGTGTTACAGTTATCAAAGGCCACAAAAATAATGATTTTAGGATCCGGTTGCACTGGTTGTAAGAACTAAATATAAAAGTGGCAGTAAGGAATTTGAAATAGAGGGGGACCATTAAGAAACTTTTGCAGATGGAGGATCAAGACTGACCACCACAGCCCACAGCACCATTTTTAAGATTATGGCACCTAGATGACACGACAGGATGGCACTCCATTTCTTTTTGATAATTTTGAGTGGCCTGGGCTAGGCCACACTTGAATCCGCCAATGTATATGTAGGGTCAGTTTACTCTTCATTGTAAGTTTGGATGGCACAAGGATTCCAAGATGGCTCAATTCAGTAATTGATCATGTGATAACTACATTCTGATCATGTGATACCTACATTCAACATAAACGTTTACACATTGCAGGTCTGTAACCAGCTTTCATAATAGGGAGGACCTTTTTTAATATGACTGGAACTTTTGGGGTCCAGGGGTTCTCTCGAAAAATGTTGAAAACCAGGACCGCCACCTTTAATTCAAAATGCTCTTCTGGTGTGTTTGAGCTGCTTTCAAAGGAATTACAATTTTCGTGGATTAAAACTGAATCGATTTGATATGATATGTGCAAATATTGAAGAATCAGCTGTAGGATATACAGTACCATGCAATATTGTTAGTACTGTAGATCAAACATGTAGTAGTCTACAGATAGGATCATGTCATATACATCATCATCTTCCTTTACTGTGCAGAACGTCTTTGGAGTATAGTCGCACATAAAAATTACAGTGCATGTCATAGGCTTATCTATTAAACTAATGTTGGCTAAATATCATTTAGACCTAAGTATTGAAGGCAATTTAAGCACAATAATACTCGGAGTTTCAAATTACAATGAGCATAACCAAATTATAAACCATTTATGCACAATAGCAGCCTATATTATTTATAAAACATGGTAATTAGCTGACACAATACATGAGAAAACCAAACCAATATACAGTAGAACCCCTATTAAGGGACACCCTCGGGACCCAAAAAAAGTGTCCACTTAATAGGGGTGTCCCCTCAATAGGGGTACCACTAATCATGAAACACTGACGAAAAATGTGAAATTGTCCCTTTAAATCCCCTTAATAGGGGTTTTTGGCATGGTTTCGTACAATTTTTTTTTTTAACCGTATTTATAGAGGGTGACCCTTCCAGTGTATCCTACAAGGTCGGCTAATATTCAGGGGCCCTCTTTAAATGAGGAAAGCACTGAGCTATTCAACTCAACTCCAATGATGATGACATACAGGTAGATTCAATGATGACGTACTGTACATAGATTTTTTTGTAATTAAAATTTAGTTGGTCTAAGAATGAGTTATTGTTGAATTACTACTAATTTTTTAACAATAATTTGCAATGCAAAAACAATGATGTGAAATGTTATTAAAACAACAAAAGTTGTACATATTCTTGATATATTTCCATGATTCGAGTGCATTAACTAAGTGCAGTATTCTTTTTTTTAAATTGAGCTTTCTATTGGATGTACAAAATACAGTAGAATATGTGAATAGAAACTTAGAATCAGGATGCAGGCTGTACAGCTGTCTCTTATACACATCTAGATGTGTATAAGAGACAGATATATACACACACACTAAACAAGAAATCCACATTAATGGTTAATGGTCAAAATTAAAAGATTGTATTATACCACACCCTATCAGATCTATGATTATAATACAGAAGTGCATAAATCGCGCTTTATAAAGTTGTGTTTTGTGTTGGTCTAGTAGAGCAGAACTCCATATTCTGTGAGGGGCTCATCCGGTCCCCTGGTTACGGGCCTGCATTGGATTTATAAAACAAAGAATGAAATTGCCAAAATGGTTGATTGAAATATATAAATTGCAAGTATGGATGTCTTAAATTTAATATCTCTGATTTAAAGTGTTTTGGACAAGGTGTTTAAATGCTAAAGTCCTCAGTACGCAGTAATCATATAATCACATGACTAGAGCTACAGAATATGTACCGTATGTTGAATTTTCTTGATTTTAAGAAAAGTTGAAAGCATGAATTATTGACATGTGTGTACAGTATGTACTTCTAGAGTAATTCAGTGACTAGTGGCAGGATTTTGTGTTTATCTCTTGATTTCCTAAGGCCAAATTGGGAATCATAAAACTAACAACCATTTTAAAACTTCCAGTTGATGTATTGTACATAAATTGTTAATTAGCATGTTAATGTTAACCGTCTGAGGTATATTAATGTATGGCCTATATATACAGTATGTGAAATATTATCTGGATAAGAAATAACTTACAGAATGGATTCGGTCTTCTTAAAGAGACTGGTGTGATTAACTGCTTAACATTTCTTTATACGAAACAAGTCGACTTTCCTACACAAAATTGACTGACATTTGTATAGGTAAGAACTTAAAAATAAATCATAATTATATGGATCAATTACTATTATTAAAACAGGTCATGCTATATCGTTTCCTTCATCTACAAATCATAGGATCTATATTATAAATTTGACATCTCAACATGATGTTGCTTGTAGCAATAACTCAGATCTCGGCCATAAATCGTTGGCAACCCGACAAAATGGTCGTCAAGAGTCATTTAGTACATGTTGCTAAATTTTGTCTTTTAAAAATAAATCGGGAGAAGGGGAGGGGAAGAAGGCGTGGGAAAGAAGGCAAAATGCATTCTAAAACCATTTCAGAACAGCTTAAAATGGCCCAAAAGGGGCATTTGGGTTTCAGGCTTAGCCGAACTGAAGGCTTCATCAAGGCGAGATTATCATGAAAATAAAAATTATATAAACATGTTTTTTTTTTTAATTGTAAAAACATTGTATTTGTGTGGTTGAGGATCTCATGCTAACGCAATAGTGATAAGGTTTGCTTATGAGATCTTGTCCAACCACCCAGTGGATCCGATTGTATTGTGCCCAGTGGCGGAGCTGGCGTCTGAAATCTGGGGGGAGGTGGGGGAAGGTAAATTTTTTGGGGAAAACTATGTTTTTCCATAGCAGACAGGAGTCTGGTCGGCCCAGGCAGGCACTCAACATTTCTGACCGACGCAACTTTTTAAACAAATTACCTCCCTCAAAAATCAAAGGCATTTAAACTGTAAATGCCCTTTGAACTCGAACGCCCTTTATTGAGAAAATAACAGTAAAAAGTGCACGTCCCCATGGTTACGTTAATTGTTAATTAACAGTCTTGCATTGGATAGGGCCAACGAGTGCAAATCTTTTAAAGAAAGCTTAACAATACTGTTATAATAAACACAACAGAAAGCAAGCATAAACACCATTGGTGTTTTTGTTACCCTGTTTTAATTACCTTTCTGATGCAATTTTTAAGTAATAAGAAAGAATAACGAAATAAATATGGCAGTAAATAATTGTAGTTGTGATTATTTTAATTATTTTAGCTATCTTTTTTATTCTGCTTTTTAAACGTGTTAGATCATTTTTCAATGTTTCAAATTTTGTGGTGTTGTGTGTTTTTTCATTTTTCTCTTTCATATTTGAAGATAACAATTTTAAAATTTTTTTTCTTATTTTAACTGTATATATTGTAAACTTCTCGCAATTCAGTATTTTACTGCCAGTTGAAGTTATTAAAGAAACCTGATATCTTAAATCTGAAATACCATTAGCTATGATGATGATTAATGATGATCAATGACTGAATTAAAATGATGTAAACATACAAAAAAATAAAATAAAATATACATAAACGAACAACTCATTTCATTGAAACCATGCTGATACCATGGCACCTTCCCCCACCCACTTGCACCACCCCTGTTTCTTAATCATTAAAATCGTTAAACATTTTGATAAAAAATATTTTTAGATGCGGAAACCGAATAAATAGTGCATGTGCACAGATTGGTTAATTAAAAAATTCTAAATACAAATTAGCAAGGTTAATACAAGTTGTTAAATTTTACGAATATACAGTACTGTATGTTTGCGTGCTTGGTTTGGCCTAAAACAACACAAACTACCTGTAGTAAAACTATACTTTTTTGTTAAATGCATTTGACACGGCCGGCCGCTGTATTCATTCGGTAGGATTTAATTATTCCACAAAAACTTGCTTGTACTGTACAGTATACAAATTTCAGTCGATACCGATCGTTTCGATAGAAGCCATTTTGTTTTGTAAATAGTTCACAACCATACAGCCATTCAATAAAATGAAGCTTTAACAATGTAGAGGTATAAAATATGAAATTAATATTTATTTGCAAACTTGTTGATTTGTACTCTAACTAGCCTAGCGTTAGAACTAGGCCTACTTGTTATGTAAGGCAGGTACCCGTACCTTTCTCTATATTAATACAGTAGCATTGTGTCAATTGCAAAAAAGAAAACCCATTTTAAAAAAGGGGAAAGGAAACATTTGTGATTGCAACCAAAACTCAGACCTGGCAACCAAATATTTAAAACTTTTGCAAGCCCTGAATGTGCCTGTTATTTTAGTACATTTATTACAAATGGAAAACAGAGGTCCGAAGTTGGTGGAGTGAAATTTCTGGGTAATTTGTTGTTTATTGAAGTGTAATTTATGAGTAATTTTTTTTTGGTTTATTAATTACACATATGACATGCTAATTCAACGTGTGTCATGCCGTTACCAAAAGCCATTACAAATATTTAACAGAAACAGTTTTTTTTAAGTGGGAAACAATAGGCAAAATAAGTCATTTTCAGGTTTTATTGAATTTACGTGGTGATGCAAAGGCTTGGAGCCATTTTAATATTCACAATGAAAATGCTATTTTTTCTGGGAAAAACTAAAAATTCTATGAAGCCTAAATTCTCCTTAAAAAGTCTGGGAAACCTGCAAATTTCTGGGAGTT